AAAAATGTGAGCTAGAATGGGGAATAAAAATCATCTGATCCTATGCCTTTGTTGCAAAGATGGGGAAAACAGCTGAGAGCCAAGTGTCAAACGGGGTCACGGGCTCTGCAGGCACCATCCTCTGGGGTTCCGGCAGCATCACAGGTAGGAAGGAAATGATATCATGGTGTAGCAGGTGGGGCAAAGTGGGGAGGAAATGAGGAGGGAGCGCTGCTTGTGGAACAGCGATGGAGCGGGGAAAATCAGACCTCAAAGTTTGAGAAGAGCAGGAAAGGGCGCCTGAGGCCAAGAGAAGAGCAAGCCGAGAGAGACGGATGGCTTCCCAGGTTGTTTACAGCAACACACGGGACTGCTTCTGCAAGCTGTCGAGCCAGAGCAGTTCTGAGCTGTCTCAGCAAGGCAGGGATGCCTGCGGCCTCCTAGGCAGTTAAGTGAGAGCCTCTGAGTGGCACCAGGGAGGAGGAGGAGCAGGAACCAAGGACCTAGTGGTGCTGGGACCCCAGGATCTGCAGGCTCAAGGGTTGATTTCTCCTGGAAATGCCTTTTTCTTTTCTTCCTTTTGGGGAATTAGCCAGATTTATTCAAGTCAAATTGTAAATCACAACAAAGCGTTTAGTAAACAATTGCTTGCATAGCAAATTGAAAGGGAAAATGCAACATAGCCCTCAGCTGAAAAGCCTGTGCTGGGAGATGTGCAAACATTACTACAGTCACTTCTCAATATCCTTTTAGGCAGGGAGGGGAGTAGTTTAAGTAGACGAGCCTTGAAGAGAAACAGGGTGTGAAAACTCCTTATGACTTGCACTGTTTGGGATCTGGTGGGGAAATGTGGCTGGGGGATGCACAGACAGTGCCTGTCTGCGTCCAACCTCTCCCAGATGTCATTTCTGCTCAAGAATAAGCAGATTCTCTCCATAAAATACTAAAGGCCAGCCGGGCGCGGTAGCTCAAGCCTGTAATCCCAGCACTTTGGGAGGCTGAGACGGGCGGACCGCAAGGTCAGGAGATCGAGACCATCCTGGCTAACACGGCGAAACCCCGTCTCTACTAAAAAATCCAAAAAAACTAGCCAGGCGAGGTGGCGGGCGCCTGTAGTCCCAGCTACTCAGGAGGCTGAGGCAGGAGAATGGCGTAAACCCGGGAGGCGGAGCTTGCAGTGAGCTGAGATCTGGCCACTGCACTCCAGCCTGGGTGACAGAGAGAGACTGTCTCAAAAAAACAAAAAACAAAAAAAAACAAAAAAACTAAAGACCAAGTGCAAGGGAAAGACAATGCTACTCAGTAGCATTTTCTTTCCTAGGCCTCATAGGATAACATAACCTACATGCCCAGAAGGTGAGAAGGGGTCGCCCTGCCTTTCTCTGTTCTGGGCTTTTCAGGAGGGCTGTTCCCTGTTTGCACTCCTTTCTCAAAAATGTGCTGTTGTCCTAGGCAGAACCAAAGCTACAAGAGTAACCAAACGGATTCTTGGCAAGGAGCGCACCGGAGCCCAGACACACTCCAGTTACATAGTTCTGGGCCTCCGTAGAACAGAAGGCTAATGTGAGCCGGCTGCTCGCATAAGAGGACAAATGACGCCTGTGGAGGTGCGCAGATGCAAAGCCTTACACATGCACCTGTGTCACCACCAGCACAGATCACTGCTACCAGTTGAAAACCCACTCAAAGAACCAAGCAACTTATGCTGGGGGGACCTCTGTACACCCTTCAAAATGAAGGGGCAGGTGATTACATCACTGTAAGCTTAGATACAGATAACGGTTTTCTAACATCATGTGAAAAGGGCCTTTCTGGTGAGACATCTGTGCGCAGATGCAGCTCATTTTCCCTGAATAGGTACGCAGTGGCCCATTTGCTTTCGGTATAGTTCTTGGCCTGTTTCCCCCTCACCAAGCCCAGGGAAGTGCTGGAGGGAAGTGTTTGGGTCTCAGCGGGGTGGGGTGGGGACAGCTGGGACCCCTACAGGAGATTACTTTTACCTTGGTTACTTCTTAAGTATTGCTTGCTATCTAGGGAGAGGGCAAACTCAATTCCTTTGGAAGACACTGGAACAAAGATGCTGCCAACTGCTGCTGAGAAGCCCAGAGCCGATAATCTGGAGAACATAAATGTCTCAGGCTAGGTGTTCACTCCTACTTCCCAGGGTAGGAGAAAATGAGACACTTACTCTGTCTTGGGTTTATTTTAGGAAATATCCTGTCTCCTTGGAAGTAATGCAAAAACCTGTTCTCCAAGTGGTTTTATCTGTCAGCATTTTGTACACATTATACCAGTTCTTACATTCATGCCAGGACTCCAAAGCTGGTTGTTCAACCAACAGTGAGGCTGCACAAAGCTACTCTGCACAGAATTAGCCTAACCATTCCAACCCCAGCAAGCAAAGTCAGGTTGGTAGAGACTGCCTGCTGTTGGGGTTTACACAGAAAGTTGCCAGAACACTTTGAGAGCATTACGTGGAAATTAGGTGAGGAGGAATTTATACAACAGTCGACGCCTCCTTTTATTTGAGGGTTTGATGGAAATCTTGCAACCCCAAGTGTCTCGGATCCATCTTGCTCCCTGTCATTTATTATCAAAGAACATTTAGCTGCGGGGTATCCTCAGAAAAGCAAGTTTCCCACAACAGGAGTTCTAACTCTGCATTCTATTCTAGTAACCACTACATAACACCAGGAGTTTTACTGGCCCAATGGGTCAGAATTTGAGATAAAGACTCTTTTCCGCTCTATTTTAAAGATTTCTGATACAAGCGAGCAGGGGTGGATGGTGTGATGTTTCCAGCCTTGACTTTAACGGATCTTTCCACCACTGATACATTCCAGCTTAATGGCCTCCTTGGGGGACGGGAGGAGTCAAAAGCAAGCTGTTACACTATACTTGGAAATGCCCTTCTTTCAAGAAAATCTTCATCTTGGGATCTTTAAGAAGCCAACACTTTTAGTTTGCCCTTTCAGTGGCCTTCAGAATGGCCGGGTCCCGGGAGACCCCTTTCTCCAGGCACCTGGCGGGAGCCAGCCAGAGGAAAATCTTTCACCCTTGCAGGAGAAAGACTGTGGTCCACGTTTGTACCAGGCTAAGGAATCTCTGTCTTTGCTAGGGTGGTAGCACTATTATAGGATACCATGAATGGGTGGGCATAGTCAATGGCGTCTTTTCAGCTTTCCTCAACAAGAGTGGCTGGCCAGCCTCATGGCTGGCATGTGGGCAGCTGCCCAGCAGTCCCAGAGTGCTCTAGACTGAGTGTGCACAGAGGGGCAGGGCTCGCACAGCTGAGTGGGCTGCAGCCACAGGTGGGAGAAGGGGACACTGGCCATGGTGGGAGAGGATGTGGAGTCTCAATGACAAGGGCAAAACCTGTGTTGAAGGAAGTGATCTCAAACCAGGATCCACTTCCCCACAGATGTTAGGAGGCCCAGGTGCAAGAACTCAAATTTTAAAAAACAAGTCAGATCAGATGGGACTGGCAGACACTAAGGATGGAGACGGAAGGAGGTAGGCATGGTGTTATAAAAAAAAAGAGGTACGAAAGTGATAGAACTAAACACAGTCTTGAGAAGCAGCAATGGAGGTCCCTTAACAGGCAGAAAGAGACTCAGAACAGAAAAGGAAAGTAACGGTGGTCAGTGCCTGAGACCATCAGAGGACAGGTCATATCTGACCTAACATGGACTCATTAATCCCGGGTGAACTGAGCCTGCTACAATGGTAGATATCACGGTCTTTCTCCTGTCATCAGAAGCCACTGCCAGTTTGGGCATGAGGGGCAGGGAGCAGATAGGAGGACTGATCTTAACAAGTTTAGTACATATCAAAGGGAAAATCCTTATTCATAAAAATTCAGTTCACATACAATGTATAGAAGACTGACAAATACAGACTAGCATAATTGGGAAAATCATGAGTGACATGCTCACAAATGTTGAATATAGTTTAAGATCATTCTGGATGTTAACATGATGTCACTAAGAGAAGTGGAAAAAATTAGAAAAATTCTTCCTGTCCAAGAGTAGGAAAAATTATGAATAACTTGTAATAACATATGACAAAATAATGCAGCCATTAAGAATGTCTTTCTAGACTATGTATGGACAATGAAGAAACGTTCACAACAGGTTCACAGAAAAATACTACAAAAGTATATATTTTTGGATAAGCAAAATACATATATGTATCCTTTAAATGCCAGATAAAAAGTATATCAAAATATTAATAGCAGTAATTTTATTATTCACTATCGTAATACTTTTCAAAATTCTCTTTAAAAATTCTATTTTATTTTTGTCATTAAAAAATACATACAATTCTTTCCAAAGTCATTCTGCATTGCAGAAGGCATGTTCACCTACAGGGAGTACAGGCAGAGAAAACCTTTCACCGTGCAAACTGTCACTAAAGACTACATGAGCTCGGCCAAGCGCAGTAGCTCATGCCTGTAATCCCAGCACTTCGGGAGGCCGAGGCGGGTGGATCAGTTGAGGTCAGGAGTTGGAGACCAGCCTAGTCAACATTGTGAAACACCATCTCTACTAAAAATACAAAAATCCCAGCTACCCAGGAGGCAGAGGCAGGAGAATTGCTTGAACCTGGAAGGCGGAGGTTACAGGGAGCCGAGATCACGCCATTGCACTCCAGCCTGGGTGACAAGAGCGAAATCTGTCTCAATAAAAAGACCACATGGGTTCATTCGAAACCAGCCTGGGCCACGTGGCAAGACATCATCTCTACAAAACATTTAAAATTAGCCGGGCACTGTAGTATGCATCTGTGGTCCCAGCTACTTAGAAGGCTGAGCCAGGAGGATGGCTTGAACCCAGGAAATCAAGACTGCAGTGACCTGTGATCACACACTGCACTCCAGCCTCGGTGACAGAGGGAGGCCCTGTTTCAGAAAAAAAAAAAAAAAAAAGACTAAATGAGCTCCACGACCATAAGAAAACTGAATTGGAGAGAGTAAATCAAAGAATCAAAAGTATGAGGATGGGAGGGGTGGTTCAAAATTATGCAGCTTAAAAGAAAAAAAAAAAACAATAGTCCACTTGTGCAGTGAGCAGCAGAGAAGGAAATGGCACAGTGCAAGGCCCCAGTCTCACTGGGAAGAGGCTCTGCCTAGAATGAAACATGACTTCTGAGCTTGGAGACTCTTTTAAAGGCCCCAGGGTCTACATCTGGCTGACCCCAGGCAGCTAGTGACATGCTGAGGATATAACTAAATTCCACCCAAAGTGACTGATCCCGTGCCTGTTATGTGCAAAGCACTGTGACAGCTGGGGTTTAAGAGAAATGGGCAAACCCCGTCCTTATTCTTGGAAAGCACAGAGTGGTGGGGTGGGGTGGGAGGCTGTGAACATACACAGCGACTCCTGGAGCACTAGGGTCCCGAAGGGGAGTGTGGGACAAGGAAAAGGTCTGTCTCAAAAAGCCACTACTTTCATGGGGGAAAAAAAAGGTGGCCTTCCCTCAAGAAGTACAGAGGCACAGAGCCATTTGGGCACTTCTGTATATCGAGCTAGAGGCCTTGATTGTAGACACTTTACACTCTTCTAAAATCCACAAGCTGCAGGCAATGTGACTGCTTGAGTCTGGCACAAGGCGGGCCAAGGGCCAGCGTGATGGCTGAACCGGGGGTTTCAGTCCTTCAGGCCTTGGTGACTTCACAATCAGAAAGCCTGAGAGCCCCGCCTCCCCGCCACGGCTTCTGCCTACTGACTCAACAGGGCTGGTGGCAGAAGTTCCCAGGGACCTCTGAGGTCCCATAGACAAGGTTTACAGCCCACCACTCTAAGTCTTACAGCAAAGGCAACATTACACGGAGAGGAGTGTGGGAGGAGGCAGGAATCAGAGGTTCCGCAGGAGGAGGGAGAGGGGTGGGGAGGAGGGAGGGATCAGAGGTTCCACAGGAGGATGGAGTGGGTGAGTGGGGGTCATGCGGGGAGGAGACGACACGAGGCTCTACCGCAGGTGCCATTCCCTGGGCTGAGCAGCCACCAACTGCAGAACAGCTTCCAGGCACAGTGGGGAAGTTGCCCAGCCAAGGAACAACTGCCAACAGAGGCCCCAAAGCAGGCATGGCAGAGACCACACGCACAGCATCGGGCTTCAGCCAGGTAAAAGCAACTAAGGAGCGCCAGGTCCTACCACTCACACCGTGAAGAGGCCCAAACAAATAAACTAACAGCCCACAGGCCGAAAGTGGACAATGCTGTCCCAGGAAGGAGCCCAGTGAGATCTTTACAGCGTGAGTCTGTTGCTGAAATGGTTTGCAGTCAGTAAACCGTTTTCAACTTTTAATGTCATGAGAAAACATCAAGTCCAAAAGAACATAATATAATCCCAATGAGTACATATGTGGGTGTAAAATCCTAAAATATTAACTCAGATTATAGGTATGTTTTTGTTATTTTCTTCTTTTCCATCATTTGCTGTGTAGTCTAGAATGACATGTCACGTTTTCAATGAGAAAACAACAGTAATGACTAAAAACACCTAACATCCTGGGGCACTGGCCAAATGAAAGTCCTTTACATAGTTTACTTCATCTTTTCGCCCCTTATCAGGTAGGCAATACCTTGCATTCTAGAGACAAGAAGTTGCAGGCTTGATTACAACTCAGTAATTCTCAACGCTGGTTGCACATTACAATCATCTGGCGAGATTTTTTTTAAGTAATGATTTCCGGCCCCACCACAAATAAAATAACTTCTATAGCATTCTCCCAAGGAACGTCCCCAAGGGCATTTGACTAATGAAAGGTGCAGCTGGGGCTCAAGCCTCACTGCCTCCAAAGCCTTGAACTGCCCTCTGAATTGGATCAACAAATTCTGGGAAATGGCATGGCGGCGAGGGCCGTGGGGAGAGGGTATAAAATACAGAAGAGGGCACAGATGGCACTGTGGCCTGGCAGAGGGGGCACAGGCGACACCACACATGCCTCATCGGAGGGGGGGCAAGCTCTTTCCACTGACTCAACTCGGCCCCCTCATGATGCTCCCCCAGGCCAAGGGCTGCATCCCGATCATCCCTCCATGCCCCTGGCACCTAGCAGGCACCAAATAGGATTGACAGGACCACAGCACGTGCAGCACTCAGTAATTACCAATGACCTGAAATTCAGGAAGCTAACGGGACACTCACTTTTGTCTCAGGTAATCATCACCATGACCATCAACAACTTGTGAGGGTCTTTCTATCAAAGGAGATCTTATTAGCTGAATACTGAATGGTTTCATTCACCAAGGAATACATGTGTTTCTCTAAATGAATATAAATGTAAAAACCTGCTAGTTACAGATTAAAATCTAAAGCAACAATCTTGTCTAGGAAGCCCTCTCTAAGCCCGTCTCCTGACAGGTAACCTCTGTCTGCGCCCTCTCCCCACCCACTTCACCCCCATCAGACATCGCCCCCATGCCACTGTGGGGACCAGCTCAGGTCCCCACCACTCTTTCTGCCCAGGTTTCCATAGGCCCAAATGCATTGTGTTCAACAAGGCACAGTGTCAGGGTCTCTGTTTCTACTTGTGTAAAATGAAGATGGGATGGTCCTGCCACTGCAAGGTGCTGTGAGGCTCACATGAGGCAACGTACTAGGAAACACCCAGAAAACAGAGCTCGCTGCTCTTCAAATGCAAATAACTATCAGCATCACCCCATTAGTAGCTATTACTGCCTCATAATAATATTTTCTTTTAAATCTCAATTACAATCTGTTGGTCACTGTCTCTGCCTCACAGAAGCACAGGGCAGACAATCCCCATCAGCTCAAGGTTCCCATCACCAGGGTTTCCCTTCATGGAATCTTTGCCACAGGCACTGTGAGTACCACCCACTCCACTCAGCTCACGTCACCCAACTCTGTTTACCCAAATCAAAGACTGACTTAAAAAAACGAGAAGCTGGTGGAAAAGCTATCAACGACATCTTCACAAAATCCAGAGAACACCCGAAAAGCGTTTCCTCCTGCAGCCAGCAGGATGAGTGGAGAGTTGGTGTCTCTCGACGTGTTTTCATCATCAGAGGGCAGTGCTTCATCGGGAGAGACGCCCACACCCTGCATGCAGAAGTGTGTTACAACAAAAACAGGTATCCTAGCCTATCCTACTGGAGCCAGGGCTCCTCTGACACGTGCCTTTTCATCACACTTGGGCAGCATGGAAAGAAAACATCAGTCTGCACACCCTGTGGGCAGGTCCTCGGGGAGACTCTCTGCTGCCTCCCAAGTGCAGCATCAGTGAGCCAGAACCAACCAGGGAGCTGGCCCGACACAGCGGGAGCTCCCATGCAACAGGCTTTACGTCTGCGCGCACTGCATCGGGGCCTTGGAAATGGCTATGGAACCGGCTCTCACATCTCAAGAAGAAATCTGTTCTTTAAACAAATTTGTTCATTTATTTAAAAAGAAATGTTTTAAACAAAGCTCCCCCAAGATTAGAACACTGGCACTTCAATTTTCTGAGCCTCTAAGGTATCCTGGGAGTTAAATTAGTTTTCTTTCCCTCCTTCTAAATATTTCCTCTTTCAAAAAGCACAAGGAGAATCAGCATTGCAAACGAGAGCAAAGCAGAGGATTCCATGCCAACTTAACTGAATTTTCACTGGACATTCACAGACTGGTATTTTCGTACTCACTCACTGATTCACTCAACAAACCTTTAATAAACCCAGGCAGTCCACCAATTCACACACAGGCCTGGGAACACCTTAATCCATAAACTCCTGGAAATGTTCACTTCTCCCCCAGTCTCCCCACCATCACAAGCAACTTTTTTTGTGAAAAAACTTGGAACTCCTAGAAAATTCACTGGTTCAAGAGGAGACAAAGAAAACCTATGAACAATGGGGCACAGCCCAGGAACAGCCTCAGAGTGAGCGGGGCCGGCTAGAAACAGCCAATATCACACAACACCAGCTCCACGTCACACACATGCATAGATGTACTGCTGCATTAAATCCTCACAAGGAAGCAATCAAGTCACAATTGCTAGGTAGCTGGCGGATTATATTGCCTGCCGTCACATAACTCGTAATAGTGAAGCCAGGATTTGAACCCAGGTCACCTAATTCCTGAAACCCTATGGCCTGCCAGGTGCCAAATTGACTCAACTTTGACCAAGCTCATTCTCCCTGCTGCCTGACAATTCTTACTTTATTTGTTACCCTGTCTGAAATCCTACAAACATAAAAGAGTCATGAGTTAAGTGACAACCTCTTCTTGAATGTGACACCCCTGTAAAAATGAAGCCCATTATTATTCATGCAGTGGAGTGAATCAATGTAATCCATCCACTTCCCATCCAGCCAGCTGCTAGCCAACACCTGCTGGCTGTGAGGTAACAGGAACTTTATCTGGGACTGAGGAAAAGCGGGTAATTTTGGCCGCAGGACCCAACCGGGGCTTCGGTGGAAAGTTGTAGAAAGGATACAGATAGCAGAGGCCTGGAAGGGGTATGTGGAAGGAAGTGGCAGATAAAGCAGATGGATTACACATTACGCTGGAGATATGATGTCCCTGATAAAAGTAGGGAAAAAGTGTCAAAATAACATATAGCAGTCCTTAAAACAAAAACATAAAAATAAGTGTATACAAAGAATGGTAGTGCAGGAGGAAGTGAGGCATTTGTCTCTAGACAGAAGAAGATTATGAATGGTTCCTTCCATATTTCGACGATTTTTAAATAATGAGTATGCACTGCTTCTGAATTAAGGGAAAGAAAATCTCTTTTAATGAAATCAACAAAGAGGGAGAACAAAGGAAGGCATGAGGGTCCCAGGACAAGCCAAGCCCACCTCGAGTCTGTCTAGGAGATGCTGATAAGCGGGTACACAGGGCTTCATTATGCTTTTCCCTTTATATTTGTACATGTTTGGAAATTTCCAAAATTAAATGTAAAAACAAAGGACTTCGTCTGGGGCTGACCCAAAAAACACTGAGGAAACTCCACTACCTGCACCAAGTACCTCACTCCCCAACCCCAGCGCCAGGACAGCCCCAAAATGCTGTAAGTGACAGCCACATGTTAACTAGTTAAAGGGTCTTTTATATGGGATTAGGTTGAGCCCTATGAAACTGTCAATATTCAACCATTATGACCTAGAAAAACAGCGAAGAGTCAAAGATGTGTAACAGGCAGACCTGTCCTTAACTCTCCTGGCGGTGTCCTGAGACACTTCTGTGGGCCTAAGTCTGAATCAATAGAAAGTCAGACTGAAAAGCAACCATCTCTCATACTATAGCCTCTACCAGAAAAGCTGATGTGAGCACCAAGGAACAGACTTAGGCATGGTTCACAGGTTATGCAAAAGCTGGTGGCTGTCTAAAACGTTAGGCGCACGCGTTTAGAAGCTATACACTGGAAGGACCACAAGTGAATTCTGCGGTTCACTCCTTCTTACGTTTCGACAGGTAACAACCTCACTGGGGAGATGGAACCCATGCCCGCCGGACAACAGGTGGCATGTCAGCCACTGGGCGAGGCTGGCACGCTGATCTGTGATCTGTGACTTGGGGCAGGGCAGGGTGGCCCTTTTAGGGGTCTTCAGTGGTCAGCTAAGGGATTTACACCTTTATTTAGACGCAGAGTTTTAAAGCAAAGGAAGAGCATCCACAAAACATGATCTTGGGCAGAATAATCTGGTCTGTGTAAGAAACATTGAGGGGGGAAAACAGAGCACGAGGACTTCCAACTTCTCGAGGTCCAGCCTTCTCCTTTTCGGTAGCAAATCAATATGCTCGCCTTACAGCCCAATATTTTAATCCATCTCATATAACACCTTTGCGTAAGCACATGCTGTGACCTTTCCTATTGATCTCTTTGTTCCCCGGTCCCTGTTTTTTCTCAAAGAGCCCTGACACACACATAAAACACACGCCCGTAGTTACCATGGGGATTATCTACGCAGTTCATGTCATGCACCAGTAATTCCCACCAGGAAATGCCACATTTATGGCAGGTCTTCCTGCCGCATTCACAACCACACTTTTTCACTGGTGACCAGAATTTCAGACACTCACTCCAGAAGGAACACACTTTTAATCTGACTTCTAATCTCAAAAGAATGTCACAGCCTATTGGCCTGGCTGACCACCTTGCCTGTCTTCAGTCTTCAACAAGTACTGGTTGTACTTTTCTAATGACGAGGCCTTCTCTTTATGTGGAGCGGACGTGCTAGTGGGCACTGAGAGAATAGCCTCTAGCAGAGAGGAGAATGTGATTCAATTTACCTGCAATTCCTTTCAGGTATCTGGAAACAAATGGCCAATTGTCCGCATGCTCGCCTGAACGATCAAACACCGGGAGAAAACAGTGCCCACGGACCAGGAGGAAGCCAGCTCCATTCCTTCCCACC